CAAACTCTCTGAGGACTTAACGCTTGAGTTTTCTTTATATGCATTCATGTATTTTAACTGTCTGAGTGGTCTTCAAGCAATATCAAGTAAAACAAGCATAGACTGAGACTTCATCAATGTAATAATAATAATAATAATCCTTGCATTTGATATAGCGCTTTTCACGTCGGGAGGACGTCCCAAAGCGCTTTACAGAACACACTGTAAAGTGAATTGACTGTATATTTGTGGGCGAACGCGGCAGCCAATTGCGCACAGCAATGTCCCACAAACAGTCGTAGATTGAAAATGACCAATTTATTATTGTTTTTGGTTTTGGAGGGATTATTATTAGGCTCTGTGTGGAGTAAGGAAACTTGCCCAAGGTTTCGCCCTCTGCCTGGAATTGAACTCAGGTCTCTCGCTTGCAAAGCGAGTGCTCTAACCACTGAGCTACAGGACTGTACAACCTCAGAGAAGGAAAGCATGATTGCCTTATCAGTTCCATGTTTCTTTTCAAAAGCATTGCGACTAAAATGTTACTGCTGCCATGAGGAAGCCGATATGAAGTCAATTTTTAACAGGATTGTGTACATTATTCCAAGCCATGAAGATTTTACTTCTAAGAATAAAAGAATCTCAAACCAAATATGGGCAAAGTAAAGCAGTACTTTGAATTTTCAATTAAATTACCAATATTGTGTCAACGTTATCTAACTGTTGTTCATCAAACTGCACAAATAAGAAGCTAATATTCGAACGCCTATGTTTTTTGCTTTGCAGTGATTATATGCTCTTGTAGTATTCTTCTTCTACACTTCTATACAGCATTGTAAACAGATGGTTTAAAATTACCACAGCAATTCAATGCTACCCACGATTTCACTATCTGATCAGAGTAAAGTGACCTTGATGAGGCACTTTGTAAACTGGACAGAGATTGTTGATAAGACAAGATAAACTTTCTTAGAACCATATTGCTAAATGAAACTTGTATGTCAAAACTAGAAGGGAACTGGTTGTTAGTCGATTGGCGGATCGCTTTTCTAGGGGTAATATTATATTGTGTATAATACTGACAAAAATAATAATACTTTGGTCATTCAACCCAATGACTGTTTTTGGTTGTGCGCTGCCACGTTTCGCCCAAAAATATACAGGCAATTCACTTTACAGTATATTCTGTGAAGAGTGTTGAGACGTCCCAATGACACGAAAAAGCACCATAATATAATAATCGACATCTCAAAGTGCTTCATGGACTATACTGTAAAATGAATTGACTATATATTTGTGAGTGAAACGTGGCAGACAATTGCACACAGCAGCGTCCCACAAACAGTTGTGGATTGAAGTAACCAATTTATTATTGCTTTTTTTTCTTAAGGGATTATTATCAGGCATGTGGAGTAAGGAAACTTGCCCAAGGTGTCACCCTGCCGGGAATTGATCAATTGCAAGGATTATTACTATTCTACATCGTCATTACACTCTGTGTGAAAAAGTGCTCCCTGAACACAGTTCTAACTTTCTTAGTTCTGATTTTAAGATCCTTGTAATGTATCTCTCTCTGGTAAAGAGAATATAACCCCAGTCTAGTTAGCCTCTCATAATAGTAATCCTTGCATTTGATACAGCGCCTTATCACGTCTTCGAGATGTCTCAAAACGCTTCACAGAATATACTGTAAAGTGAATTGACTGTATATTTAATGGGCAAAATGCGGCAGCCGATTGTGCAAAGCAGTGTCCCACAAACAGTCGTTGATTGATTGACCAAACTCTCATAATTTTTTCTTCAATCATAGCTAAGGCCAATCATAGCTAGGGCACAGTTTTTAATCTAATGAACTATCATTGGACACCCTCCAAAGCTAGTACAACAGATGACTTTAATCAAGTTGTGGCTCCAAATTATATAAGATTATAACTTCTAAAATTATATAAAATTATATTGGCCAAATTTTCTTTTAGGCATATTCATTCATGGGATAAATTGAATTTATCTTCACCAAACTAAAACATTACATTGCAGAAACAATGTTTACAAAAATAATTATTGGGTTGTCTATTGCAGAGATGTGCTTTTAAAACCAAAATATTTTGCAGAAAGAAATGGAATAAACCTTTCTGTGTCTGCCAGTAGCAGGTGCAGAAATAAACTAGAAAAATGTTCATTGCCCCAAGGTCAGATTAAGAAAACCATCAAATGTTTTAATGATATGCCAAAAATAATGATGCCAAATACAAAACCAATCGCTTCACAAATAATCTGGGATTTTTAAATTCAACTTGAATTGCTCTCTGCAGTGGATTATTGCACTGTCAAGTCTTGTATTGTAGCACACTCACCTTGCAAGCAAGAGGAGCTGAATTTGATTACCAGGCGGGGCAAAACAAAACCTTAGGCATGTTTCCTTACTCCACATGCCTCTGTTAACCTCGCAGTAAGTAGGAACCTGATTGTTAGTCAATTGGAGACTTGCTTTCCAGGAGTCAAAAAAAATTGGTCACTTAATCCAGGACTGTCTGTAGGACACTGCCACATTTCACCCACAAAATACGCAGACACCCCACTTTTCAATATATTCTGTGAAGCGCTTTGAGACAGTTCAGCAACTTGATAAGGCGCTATATCAAACGCAAGGATTATTATTTTTACTGTAATAAATGCCGTTGAAGGTAGGACACTGGTTCAGTTTCAAGCATCGCAAGATTTCGAAAATCACAATAATTTCATATTACCATGAAAAAGTATGTTTTTTGTATAAACGTATTGCATGTAAACAGAATTAGAATAAGATGTCTGTAAAATGATAGTTCATGATGCTTGTATTGGTTTTTCTCAACCACTAAATATGATGGGAAATGATTATCTTCTGCCACTAAATATGATGGAAAGTAAGTGTGGACTTGAAGTTATCCTCGCAGTAAACAAGATGTATTTTCATTGTCCTTGCGTCTCAATGACTGGGAAAAATCTGTTAATTGTGTATAAACTAACAACATATAAATAATTTGAGGTCAGAGAAAGAAAAGGTACCAATGCACCAATCCTGGCTTCTTTTGTTCATCACAAACAATTGTGCTCCACTGCAACTAATCAGTGGATGTTATTTTATATAAAGTGTAGCCAGATGCAAACAGGTTCCCCCCCCCCCAGTTTGTTGTTAAACTGTGTCATCCACGCAAAAGAATGTTGCTTCTGGAAATCCCAGTGATACCCTTTAGGAACCAGTCACAGCAATTGTAGCTATTTTCTTGAAATTAGATGCGTTTATAATAAGATGTCTGTTACATTAAAGGAACAAACAATACCGTTGCCTTACTGCACCATTCAAGTCTGCATCTTCTTACATTCTCATTCCTCTTCTATCACTATGTTTCACCACAAATGCAGATCACAAGAAAATAACATAAAAGTCAGGATGAGAAGAGATCATTCAACTCTCCTTTTTAGTGTATCACTTCTCTCATCATATCACCGATTGTGCTGCGTATTGAATAATCAATGCTTTCTCTCTTATTCACTCCCCAAAAAAGATCTGTCAAAAAAAAAACAAGTGAAAAACACGGGGCAGAGGGCAAAAGCCATGTGTGAGATTGGGGGGTGGGGGGACCTCCCAGGACCAGACCATCATCCACCCTGAAGGTGAATGATGCAACGGATGAAACTCGAATGCCATCTGAGCAAAGGATGAATTGCATTCGGTTGCATTCGATGGTCATGTTCCCAAAGCCTTTCGCTGAGGAGGTATCACCACAAAAAAACTCTCAGCAACAACTGGAGATGGCAATGCAACCGAACTGAAGGGGAGATGCGACTCCATATTCACACACACTCACTCACACACTCACACACACACTCACTCACTCACACACACTCACTCACACACTCACTCACTCACACACACACACTCACTCACTCACTCACACAGTCACACACACTCACTCACACACACACACTCACTCACACACTCACTCACACACTCACAGTCACTCACACACACACTCACACACACTCACTCACAGTCACACACACTCACTCACACACACACACACTCACACTCACTCACACACACTCACACACAGACACTCAGTCACACACTCACACACAGACACTCAGTCACACACTCACACACAGACACTCAGTCACACACACACAGAGCGCGGCCGCTCCCGCACAGTCCCGGGACTCCGTGAACAGCCCAAGTGTCAGCGCTGCGCCCACGCGCTGCATCCAACCTGACAGCTCAGCCCTGACCCCCACCCCGAGCCCTGACCCCCACCCCGAGCCCTGACCCCCACCCCGAGCCCTGACCCCCACCCCGAGCCCTGACCCCCACCCCGAGCCCTGACCCCCACCCGAGCCCTGACCCCCACCCCGAGCCCTGACCCCCACCCGAGCCCTGACCCCCACCCCGAGCCCTGACCCCCACCCCGAGCCCTGACCCCCACCCCGAGCCCTGACCCCCACCCCGAGCCCTGACCCCCACCCCGGCAGCGCCGCTCCCCCCCCCCCGGGCACCCCCTCCCCCCCGGGCACCCCCTCCCCCCCGGGCACCCCTCCCCCCCCCCGGGCACCCCCCCCCCGGCTCCCCCCCCGGGCACCCCTCTCCCCCGGGTACCCCTCCCCCCCGGGCACCCCCTCCCCCCCCCGGGTACCCCCTCCCCCCCGGGCACCCCCTCCCCCCCCGGGTACCCCCTCCCCCCCGGGCACCCCCCGGGCACCCCTCTCCCCCGGGTACCCCCTCCCCCCGGGCACCCCCTCCCCCCGGGCACCCCCTCCCCCCCGGGCACCCCTCCCCTCCCCCGGGCACCCCCTCCCCCCCGGGCACCCCTCCCCTCCCCCGGGCACCCCCTCCCCCGGGCACCCCCTCCCCCGGGCACCCCCTCCCCCCGGGCACCCCCTCCCCCCCGGGCACCCCTCCCCCCGGGCACCCCCTCCCCCCGGGCACCCCCTCCCCCCCGGGCACCCCCTCCCCCCCGGGCAGCCCCTCCCCACCTCTCTCTCTCTCTCACCTGCGGTTGAGCGGTTGGCTTTTCAGCTCGTAAAACGTTTTCGCTTCTTCATGAAATTCCTCACCGACCTCAAAATCCGGAACGATTCCCGACTCGGACTGCATTGGGGAAGGTTCAGAGGGAGCGGCCGCGGAGCGGGGACCTGAGGGGGGGAGCGGGGACCTGAGGGGGGGGAGCGGGGACCTGAGGGGGGGAGTGGGGCAGTGGGGGGGGGAGTGGGGCAGTGGGGGGGGGGGAGTGGGGCAGTTGGGCAGTGGGGGGGGAGTGGGGCAGTGGGGCAGTGGGGGGGAGTGGGGCAGTGGGGGGGGAGTGGGGCAGTGGGGCAGTGGGGGGGGGAGTGGGGCAGTGGGGCAGTGGGGGGGGGGGAGTGGGGCAGTGGGGCAGTGGGGGGGGGAGTGAGGGGGAGTTCTTGATGGCAATTCAATTAAAGAAAACACAGAGAGAGAGAGAGTGTGAGAGAGAAAGAAGGAAAGAAAGAAGGTGGGTGGGGGAGGAGGAAGAAGAGGAGAGAGGGAGAGAGGGAGAGGGGGGGAGGAGGGAGAGGACAAAATAAAAAGGGTACGAAAATAAAGTGAAATAAAATAAATCCTCCAAAACCACAGACAGAGACAGAGGGTGTGAGGGGGTGAGAGGGAGAGGGGGAGAGGGGGGGTGGGGGGGGATAAAAAAAATAACCCGCGACCCACAGGAGGAGGAAAATGTCAACAAGACACAAAGTTGCGGTGACTGACAGCGCCTCTCTCTCTCTCTCTCTCTCCTCTCCTCCCCCTCCGCACATCAAAGCGGCGCCGCCTCCCGCTGACACCCTGTGTGTGTGTGTGTGTGTGGGGCCGCGCTGCCCGCCGGGATCTGTAGTTCCCGGGGCCGCTGCGCCTGCGCGCCTCTCGCAACGCCTCTCTTTCTCTTCGTGCGGTTGTGCGCGGAGAACTACAACTCCCGGCGCCCCCCGCGCGCCCCCACACACACACACACACGCACACAGCGCGCATGTGCAGCCCAGGTCGCAGGTAGCACTTCTTGTTTTGGATACAATGTTACATCAACAGCTGATCTGAGGCTGCGGGGGGGCGGGGCTGGCTGGGGGGGTGATGTGGGGGGCTGGGGGGGGTTATGGGGGGCTGGGGGGGGGTTATGGGGGGGTGATGGGGGGCGGGGGGGTGATGGGGGGGTGATGGGGGGCTGGGGGTTATGGGGCTGGGGGGGTTATGGGGCGGGGGGGGTGATGGGGGGCTGGGGGGGGGTTATGGGGGGTGATGTGGGGGGGGCTGGCTGGGTGGGTGATGGGGGCTGGTTGGGGGGGTGATGGGGGGCTGGCTGGGGGTGATGGGGGGCTGGTTGGGGGGGTTGATGGGGGGCTGGTTGGGGGTGATGGGGGGCTGACTGGGGGTGATGGGGGGCTGGCTGGGGGAGGTGATGGGGGCTGGCTGGGGGGGTGATGGGGGGCGTGATGGGGGCTGGCTGGGGGTGATGGGGGGCTGGCTGGGGGGGGGTGATGGGGGGCTGGGGGGGTGATGGGGGGCTGGGGGGTGATGGGAGGCTGGGGGGGGTGATGGAGGACTGGGGCTGCGGGGGTGATGGGGGCTGGCTGGGGGTGATGGTGGGGGCTGGGGGGGCTGTGGGGGTGATGTAGGGGCTGGGGAAGTTATGGGGGGTGATGGGGGGCTGGCTGGGGGGGATGATGGGGGCTGGGGGGTGATGGGGGGCTGGGGGGTGATGTGGGGGGCTGCGGGGGGTGATGGGGGCTGCGGGGGGTGATGGGGGGGCTGGGGGGTGATGGGGGACTGGGGGGTGATGGGAGGCTGGGGGGGTGATGGGGGGGTGGTGATGGGGGACTGGGGGGTGATGGGGGGCTGGGGGTTGATGGGGAGGCTGATAGACAAGCAGTGGATATTCCTCCTGTCATTTGTTTGCATCAGTTTCAGCCCCCCACCCAAAAAAAACACAAATAAACAAGAGGATATATGGTAACTCATTTTAAAGAGCGGCTTTATATGAGGTGGTGGTTGGGGAGAATTTTTTTTAATTGCATCGCAGTTAATTTCGTTTGATCCGAGCTTGGTCTGGTCTTTACGAGTGTTTTTTTTGGTTTGTTTTACACAAATGCACCTGCATGGCATCGCAGATGGATTGATCCGATTTGGTTTGGTTTGGTGAGAGGGAATGGGTGAAAATCTCTCTCTCTCTCTCTCTCATTGGTGTTTAGTGCTGTGCTCTCCGGCCTATTCGTGTGTGAGGAAGATTCAGTCGACTTGCCTTTGGTGAGACGGCACGCGAAATGGCATCTCAGATGACTTTTTTCAAGTTTTATTTGTTGTTGTTTATTTTTGAAGGTTTTTTTGGGGCTCCAGTTCAATATAATTTGGTACACAATCATGAATCTCTGGCAGAATCGATCCAAGCTCCTTGCGGAGTCCTGTAGCATATTGGCTAAAGCACTTGCCTCGCAAGCGAGAAGACGTGGGTTCAATTCCTGGGCAGTTATAAACATTAGACAAGTTTCCTTACTACACACTCCTCTGTTACCTAACACGAAGTAGGAACCCGGTTGTAGTTGATTGGTGGATCGCTCATCTGGGGGTAATAATCCCTTCAAAAAATATATAAATAATTGGTCACTCAATCCACGACTATTTGTGGGACACTGCTGTGCACAATTGGCTGCTATATTTTGCCCGCAAAATGTACAGCCAATTCACTTTACAGTATATTCTGTGAAGCGCTTTGAGACGTCTCGAATACATGAGGATTTATTTATGCAAGGATTATTATATCAAATGCAAGGATTATTATTATTATCATCAAGATGGGCACGAAACCTCACAAACTTTGTGTTAATGAAGCACAAGAGTGAAGAAAAAATGAGGGGAGTGGCGTGGAATGACCATTACACCACAATGGAGCTTATCTTCGCAATAATCCACTTTGATCCTAAGACCTTAGATCTAGGATACTGGTCACACATAATACTGTATAATTTAAAGTAAGAAATGGCTTTTTTTTTTAAAAAGCAGAAAGCTCGCCCTCCCTTATAACCTTCCCTGAAAGAAAGTCATGTCAAGTTACCAGTGAAACAGGAATTATTACCATGGGAAATTCTGATAGACGCCAACTTTGTTTTGAAAAGCCCTGGGCAACGTTTTATTCCCATCACGTTGCCACTAAATGGTATTCGTGTTGTGTTGTTTGGCGCCAACCCTCTTTAACAAAGTGCAAATGCTGATTCATTCAAATTCTCACCGATTAACAGTGCTAACAAGTTATCCTCCCCACAAACACACACACAGCCATGGAGGGGGCAGAGATAGCGGATAAAAGGAATGGTGGAAATTGAAATAAAAATACTGGAAATAGTACCGATTGAAGAGCAGGCTATAAATCATCAACAAAAGCCATTTGGAAAACCAAGTGTACCGATGGATTGAAGAGCGGTGGTCAAAAATAGGGGTAAGCGATGTCAGTGGCACAAAATGAGTCCCTTTAGTCCAGGAATATAATTACCAGTAGAATGTCATATCAACCGTTTTAAGAAAATCTCACATTTGTGGTTATATATGTCGACATAAGTGCTAAATCATAGGTGAATGAGACAGCAGTAAGAAAATATATTAATTCCAATCTTAAAAAAACACAAAGAGATGATGTGAGACAACAGAAAAAAACATTAACAACTTCATTCATGCAGTGACCTTGACATAGGATAATGGCTTGGAGCGCTGTGCAGGGGTGGGACACCCTGCACAGGATAAGGCGCCAAAAATAACTATATTAAAGCCAATGTTCATATCCGCAGGCTGAAGATTGGCGAAGAATAATATAGTCCTTAAACCCCTGTGGGTTCTGTGGTTGTGTACAAACAACCAGGTCCTTGCTCATAATATAATGCAACATTCGCTCTGACAGCAGAGGTGATTTGGGGATAAGAGGATTCTAAATCAAATCAATATCATTTTCCCTATTGACCAGCAGTAACGTTACTCTTTCAGCGTGTATCTAATAACTGTGCAGTGCAATGGCAGCATCATTTTACTGCCCCTGAAAATAGAAGGAAGTGCCTCACTTACATGTACCAGGATTCACCTGCAAAATACATGGTTGCTCGACTTAATAGTAAAATCCTGTGAAGAGCTTTGGGACATCCAACCTGAAGGGCGCTATATCAAATGCAAGGATTATTAATATTATTATTATCTGTACTTTGCACCTCTCCCTTGGCAATGTAAACAGGATGAATAACTTGCAAGGAGGGGAATTGTACAAACCTGCCCCCACCCCACCCTGATTACTCTATAAAAAGGAATGAAAAGTAAAAATGTTTTCTTTCTATTTTTAGCTCACAAATCCTTGCTGATACACAGTAGAAAAATGTTCGGCCTCAGCACAACATGATCTGAGCCCAAAAGTGCTCCAGTCAGCAAATAAAGAGTCATTTTGAGAATAGGTAGGGTTCTGCAGACAAAGGGGAGATTTTTTTTAAAAAAAGATGAATTTGTTATTTTACTAGGTTTATATTTGATACGAGGTGCAATGAAAATACAAACACAGTACAGTGCCTTCCAACACTCTCTCTCAAAGTACTGTTGATGTACACTGTTTCACAAACAACAAACCTGGGTTAAAAATCAACCATTTCTGGAAGGTTGTGCAAGTGTTTGAAACAACATTAGGACAGTATTTAAGATACTGTGAGAGAGCTGAGAACAAACATTTCTACACTTTTCACCAGAACACTGAACTCACTGTTTGTTTTACTTCCCTCTCAAGCTGCGTTCCTTGCAATGAGCAAACGAACAGCTGATAGTCTTCTCAGCAATGGGAGATCAATAGCACATTTTGTCCTCTCGTATTAACATGCCTTGAACTATCTATCGTTGTCCATTTGGGGCAAAAAGAAATAATTCATTTTCACTGGAAATCACACTGCAAGCTTTACAACAGCAGTGTCAGTTTGCTATAGGTCTAGAGAAGAGCTATATAGGCTTTCTTGCATCATATAAAAAACATATAGAAATTCTGAGAAATTCACCTTAAACTTCAGGGTGATTTAAAAGCCCCAAGATTGGGTTTAACCAGGTGTTAGCTGTCTACACTAGATTTTCTTAAAGATCTTAGTTAATTGAAGCAGGATTGCTCCAGCTCTCTGGAATTCTCCCCAAATCCCTTTTG